CTGCTAAGACTTCACTTAAGTGTTGTCGACGTGATAATTGCTACTGCTAGTGACGTCATTCATTTTCTTTTGGCAGTAATTGAAATCTGTAGTGATAGTACCAGGGAACAGTCACTGATATTACAGTTCTCAGCTAGTTCCGTGAGCCCAGCTTATCCAAATACCCGCTCGAAAACATACAGCGGCGGTGTTTATACCATTCTACAACAGGGTATTTTATATTAAGAAAAACTACAGTTAAGACAGGAAACTGTATTGTAGAGTAAAACAGAAAATAGGCTGAATGAGGTTCTGATAACAAACATATTATTAATTTATTCAACATAAAATTGTTATGCTTAAAAATATATTTACAATACTGACTTTTCAAGAGATATATTATAGGTAGGTATTATAAATAGTACCGGTACATTCCTAAATTTGGCCTTATCTGCTGATCGCTGAATGGTAGTTAGGCTCTTTCGAGATCATAGGTTTATGAATTGATCTTACAAAATAACTACTCAACCAATGCCGTATCCAGGATTTTTAAACAGTGCAGGACCTGTCTCTTATACACATCTAGATGTGTATAAGAGACAGACTTAACATTCTGATGGTTGTCTTCGTCCCATTTGTTGATTTCTTTTAAAGGAAACAACGTGAAAGCTATCTGAACCAACCAGGTACCATTAAGTAAGGATGCCCAGATTCGGAGCCACAGTATTATCTTGTCTTTTTTCAGCCATATCTCACCAGCACTGAACATGAGACTAAGGAACGTCGCAATAACTGACATCATATGCATTTTCACATTCATAAGGCTTCGTCCACCATGATGGATTTCAGTACCATTTTGCGGCTGAACAGTTTCTGATGTAATGACGTGATGAGCTCCGATATGGAAATAGAACAAAGTGCACTGGATGAAGTACGTAAAGGTTCGAAAAACTGGAACCCAGATAATGGCGTCTTTCATGTAATTCTTTGTGAGGACCTTTACGAATCCGTAGATCCAGAAAGTTGTCCAGATAGTGCAATGTATCCAGACGTTAGTATAGACAAACTTTCCATTCACGAACATCTTCCATTTCCAATGTGGGTGTACGTTTTCGCCAATGAAACCTCCGGTAGTGAAGATCATGATCGCTGCGCCTTCTAATGGGAAATTCAATATCAGCCTGAAGAAGGGTTTAATTAGCCAGATGTTCTGACGAGTTAGATTTCTCGTTGCTACTAGGTGGTACGATTGCTTC